TATATATATATATATAATGTGTGTGTGTGTATTTGAATGCAGCTGCAAGCACTCCTGTGTTTATTTGCATGCAATAAATTATGCAAAGAAAGCTCATACTGGGATAGATTCAGTTTCTTATGCTAGCTGCAGTTAAAAACACATTTAATTTCTTTAAAGTTAAATACATAATTAGATTAAATTGTGTTCTTATATTTCCCTAGGGCTTAGCTTTAAAGTTGTGCAAAGAGCAGTTATGTGCAAACTGTCCTACACAATGGTAACCGATCAAATCAGCTCTTAGCCGAGACAGCTTCAATTAATCTGAATGGTTAATATGGGTTATTATGTTTTCATATTGCATTGCTTAGTGCACAGTTTTAATGAAACTGATATATGAAGTATGTTTCATAATGAAAGATGGATACTGTTCACCAAAAACCTAATTTTCTCTCCTTTCAGATGTGAATGAGTGTGACATAAATCCAAACATCTGCATGTTTGGTGAATGTGAAAATACGAAAGGATCATTTGTATGTCACTGTCAGGTTGGGTATTCAGTGAAAAAAGGAACAACTGGATGTACAGGTACACCATGAATTAAGAAAACGTTTTAAGATTTGCACATATCTTTCTATAACTACGGATGTGGGCTTTGGGAATTTTGCACTTTACACTTCGTTAAAAATTAATTCACTGTATGCTGTTTTTCATTGAGCCTAATAAAAACTTTCTCACCTGACATCTGTGTTTTGCTTTTTTTGTCCTCATGACCACATTTATGCATGGAGTAAGACAAGAATGCATGAACCGGGGAACACAAAGCTGTCAGCATGTCCTGTGATGTGAGGGGCTTGCATGTGCATGGCAGTGGGCTAATAACCTATTTTCTTGCTTGCATGGCTTGGTATAAAATGATACAGTCTAGTATGGATAACAGATCAGAGTGCAACATTAAAGTAGAACTTTAAGCAATGGACACCTCACTCGAGGTGTATCCCTTGGCGGCACCATTGCTCTGTCATTTATCAGCAATTGAGCCCTGTTGTGGGCTGACAACACAGAGCAAATTTGGACTGAGTGGTGTCAGCTCTCCCAGTGTCTTGTGCTAAACTACTCAACCACTCCCACTCTCAGATCTCTACAACATACATTCTAATCAGTCTATAGTCCAAGGTAAGAATTAGTAGGGTTAAATATGCTCTTTGAGATAACACAGAAAGTGTTCAGACGAGAAAGGACAGCTCTGAATTTCTGACAAGATCAAAAGTTTTGGGAGTTTTTTTCACAAAATGCTTTCAATGGTATATTTACCAGACAAAAAGGGAGCAATTAAGATAATTTTTTGTTAGGGTCTACAAACACGTTGAGGCAGCCTATTCAAATAACTGGAATGCCAATGCACCGGAATACCCCCAAAAATGTGCATGTGCCATTTTTAGCAACTGGTACATTAGGGTGCCATTTAGAATTGAATACACTGCAGTGCAACAACACACATAATAGTGTGAATCCAGCTTTGCAAGAAATCTACAGCAAGATATTATAGAGATTGCCATTGCTGACCTCTCCTTCTGTAAAAGCTAGTTGGCTGGCTTTCATTTTATTCCAATAGCTTGAGCACTTTATGAGTCACAGACATTCGGAACATGTATGCAGATCAGTGGCTCTGACTTTATAATTTGCTTGCTTGTTCCAGGTCAATGATTTAGAAAGAATTAAAGCCAGACACAGACAGGCAACTAATATTCTTATTAGACTAGCAATGGCAGCACCCCCATATTTTCTCCCATTATTTGTTACCTTTAAATTGAGCCAAATGTCAAAGTTTTAATAACAGTTTATGTATTTTCACCAGGTAAACTGATTAAATGTTCATTTCCTAGATGTTACTTTTTTCAACCAGGGAACAAATCAAATCCAATGAACAAATCAGAGGAGTGGCTTAATCTTTCCAGATTTTTTTATAGAGTGCAGAAAAGTTAGCATTTCAATACACTTTTTACTGCTGTCAGTGGTCATACTGACTAGATGTTTCCTTACCTGCAATCTCTGTCACATCAGGCTACAGAATAAATGGGAAAGGTGTTGTGAGGACAATAAGATACAAGCAGCAGTAACAACCAAATATTTACCCACACTACTAACTAAAAGTGTTTTATTACCATCCCTGTATCCATTGAAGAGATTTTTAATTGCTTCCTGTCCCCGTGACAACTAGTCTCCAGGGCAGGAAGTGAGGAGAAATCTCTTCAGTGAGGATATAGGCAGTCATAAGAACCAGAAAGAGGTTCTAACTATTCTTGTCCAAAATTTAAATAAAAAGTTTAGCTGGAATTGGGCCGTGAAGTATATCTAAAGGAAAAACTTATTTTACTTTCACATAGCCTGGGGAAAGGTTAGAAGTGTTGTGAAGTTTTATTGATGTCTATATCCCCTCTATTTGTCCGGGTAGCTATTGTCAGTGAACAGAAAGTAATTGGAAGTTCAAAATGTAAGAACAAGTGGTAAGGTTAAACTAATAGGGATAGATGCACCATAGATGGTGTCCTAAAATGCAAATTTCCTTTACTTTGAGAGGGAGTGATGAAAAAATATCAACTGTTGTGAACAATACCTGTGTCCACATTCAAGGTTGTACACGTAGTAGACTAGTAATTAAAATGAAATCCAACCAAGGAGCACATTTGGAAAAAGCATCAGCGTACGGGAAATAGGTCCCCAGATAACTAACAGCTTATGCAAGGACTTAGAATAGTTTCCAATCTGTTACAGCACAATGCTTAGGTCTCTACATGGTATATGAAGGAAAGTGAAATTTCTGGTAAACATTAGAATGTAGTAAGTGGAATATAATTCAAATACATTATAATTACATTTAGCTAAAACAGAACCTGCATTCACAGATTAACAATCGTCATTGAACTTTAAGTTCCATGATCCTCGTATGTTCTCCAAATAAAAAGTGTTGAACGTGTAATTTAAATTAACATTCCAAACTGAAAGATCTACACTGAATATGTGCTATTCCATGCCAGAGCTTGGATGTTTTTTCACTTTTATGACTTCTTTTCCACATATTATACCCAACATCTTCAAAGTACAGAACATTGGAAAAAATGTCACTGTTTTACATGTTTGTGACTAATAAAGTTCCATCTGACATTGCAAAGCCTCATTTAGGGGAATAATATAGAGATGCCTCACACTGTCTAGCAATATAAAGGGTACTCTGTCTAGGCAAATATAAGGCTCCCCCTGTTGCATATGGCCGCACAAATTAAGGTGAGACTAGGGAACATAGTAACTTTAAAAGTAGTTAAAGTATTAGTAATATTACATTTTCATCAATATTTCTGAAACTCTTTTTTTTATGTGATTTGTTTTTAGATGTGGATGAATGTGAAATTGGTGCTCACAACTGTGACCTGCATGCCACATGTCTTAATGTACCTGGGAGCTTTAAGTGTTCTTGTAAGGAAGGCTGGGTCGGCAACGGAATCATATGTAATGGTAAGAGTCACAATAAGAAGCTATGATTGATCAGTTATCTTGAACTAGCTATTTCTCTCGTCATTTGCTAGGACCAGGATCTATTCAACCATAAGAATAACTGTGATGCCACGTAATATGTGTAAATAAACAAGTTTCCCTGGATATCATTAAAAACATTTTCCTACATATTATATCACTGACAGTACCTGTTTTTTTTTCATTAGATATGTCTTTTTTATTAAAATTCTAATCTCCTGGAGTTTATTCTCTATGGCCATCATACTGCCAAAAATCTCCAGTTGAATCCCATAATCTCCCATTGGGAATCTCAGTAAACAAGACACACAGAAGCAAAACAACCCCTCATTTGCAAAGGCCCACATAAACAGTCAGATTTCAGTAGGGCATGCCCATGGCCCAGTTGCTTTTATTCACCAAATAATGCTGCATGTTTACTATTATCTTATGTAATGATTATTATACAGTGCCAATATATTGCACACAATTGGGTTGATCTACTAAAGTTGTTCATTTAACAACTGCATTTTAGTAAATAAGGTAAAGCTAAATTCACTTCAATGAGCCAATCATGCTAAAAAATCCTGTTTTTTAATTTCTCACACTTCATTGGGTGTTCTAAGTGAACTCAACATTGAACACCTTATTTACTAACATACACTTTGGCGAGTGAACATACACTTTGCTGAGCGATCAGACTTTACTCCTTTTGTAAATCCACACTAATTAGTCCTGAGCTCAATTACCACCTGTATATATTTTTGAGGCAGAATGGACTAGCCTATAGTGAATTGTTTACCTGATTTAATAATCATTAAATACAAAGTAATCAAATGTTTAAAAAAAAATAGGACAGGGCAGCACAATTATAATTATAAGCTTTTCAAGCTGAAGTGCATTCCTAGACAAATAATAATATTTTAACCCCTAACTCCTTATACATGTCCGTTCTGCATGCTAACTTTAAGTAGGAATGTTGCCTTTATAAGTGTTATTTACATTTTAGGCTGAACCCCTAAAGCAGGACAAAATGCCATGTAAATATATAACTTTGGCTGAAGACAAGACAAATATAAGTACATTTGTTTGTTTTCCCTTTCATTGTGCCATTATTATGCATTATTAAGAATCTATGAAATAAAAGTTCCATTGGAAAACCTGTTTATGTTTCTTTCATACACCTGCAACATGAAAACTCCAATTGCTGGTGGCTACACAGACAGTTGTTTTTTTTTATCTCTTTTCATACATAAGACTTACAAGGCAATTTCTAAAAGAACTAATGCAAAGAAAACAGCAATGAATCCTATTTCTTTGTAAATGGAATTTGGTTGATTCCATTTACAAAGCTGTAGGATTGTTCCTGTATTCTCTGCAATAACTTTGATAAATTAGCCTCAATCGGTCTTGAAAACTTAAGGGTCCTTTTTGCTAAAAGCAAGATTAGTGCATTCACAGGTGATTAAATCTCTACTACCACTGAATGGTTTAACTACTCGTTTGCAGTATTCTAATTTGCAACACTTTTATTTCAATGTGCTGCTAATGTGATGATGGGTTACAAGTAGTTAGATCTCCCACTAGCAGAGTTTTAGTCACCCTGTAGTTCTAGCCTAAGTCTCACTGAACAGTCGGTTGCTAAATGTCACTTGTTATTTATGTGTAAATACAGACCTTGACGAATGCCTGAATGGAACTCACAGATGCAGTATCTCTGCCAACTGCCTAAACACCCCAGGAGCATACCGATGCGCCTGCATTGAAGGATACACTGGTGATGGATTTACATGTACAGGTAAGGTTCTGAGAAATAATATGAATAATATGAAAATATAATATCCAATAAGAATCAGTTACATTATTCACGCTTGCTAAACCTGAGTAGAAGAAAATTCAATATTTAATATAGTATTGGAAGGGAATGTTATATCTGTTGGATAGGTGTACAAAAATGGTTGTCCCTGCCTGAAATCCAGTGCTGTCCAGCATCCTCTGCATTTTGCAGTGTTATCTGAAACATATGGATGAAGATTAATGTATACAATCAAATTTATATTTGCCTAATGGAGGCCATACATCTTAAAATATTATGCATCCAAGGCTTGTTTTAACCATGTGTACAAGTGTATGGGCTGCTATTCACTTTCCTGCCCTATAGGTATACCTTGGAATATTTTTTGGGGTAGGTTGGAAGACGCACTTGTTTAAGGGCCCACATCATAGTCAATATTCAGCCCTTAAATGAATATTACTTTTGTTTGCACACAATGTCACAGTCAGCATGTGCACCTGCATCATCTATGCATGTCAGGTTTTGACATTAATCATTATGGGCAAACCTGCTGAGACCAGGCTGACCACTTCCAGGAGGGGAGAGCTTTACGTTTAATATCCACAATGAAAATGCTAAGGGGCTGGCCAAATTGTATATATTCATAACTGCAAAGGTGTGCATTATGGCAGGACTAAGTTGGTGATCATTGATTCTTTTGCTTAATTACCTATCTACATCTGTTCCATTTGGGAAACCATCAAAATTGTTTTGACAGCAAATAAAAGTGACAAAAAGTGATAATAGGTTCAATTGATAATGATCAATATCGCCTAAGAGCCTGGCTTACTCTTTCAACCAATATGAAAGAATATTAAGATGTATTAAATATCTATATATTTAAGAACTTCATGAAAGAAGTCTATGAAGTTTATCATTTGCATTGGAGTCATTCACTCAATCCAGGTCAACTGGATGTTCAGAGTGCTTGACCATCTCCTACTCTTCTGTTTTCAGTTTATTGCCTGAGTTCTCTAATTGGACAAGAGAACACTTCCTCTTATGTTATGGAGATGAGCAGAGGGGGCAGTGTTCAACAGAGGAGAACTGGGTAGTGCTAACAATACTGCTTTGGATTTCAGTGCAGTAGAGGCACTGTAGGCTCAAGCCAGAAGTTAGGAACACACTGGATTACTGGCAGATCAACAGATATTTTTCTATACTTGCAGCATTTTTAAAGAAAACAACCCTAGGAAAATGTGTATGTATTACAGAGCTATAAAACATGTTTTGTTTCCATTTTGCTTTAAGAAATTCATGGTTGTTTTCTGCACCATATAGCAGTGAACTACTCTTTTGTGTGCCTTATATGGTTTTCACTTAATTTGTTTGTATTCCACGGCTGAAAATGATGTCAATTTTAACATGGCTTACCTGTATATATTAAGCATCGATGGCATGATTAATGAAATAATTATATGCATTATTCATTATTTTGTTATTTCATGCTAGAAAGTAGTTAGCAGGTCAATAAAGAAACTACATGCAATATAGATTTCTACACACCAGAGTTTTGACACATTAAAGGAAAGTTCCCAGCCAAATGTGTAAAGATTTCCATGTAATACTAACTTACTTTACAAGCATGTGATTTCTTTCTACTGTCAAAATGAAATACCTGTTTTAGATCAGATGTACTATTCCTATGCTAGTACAAGCATCAACCTTTAGAAAGATGTTGATTAATGAAGTGTTTCAAAATTTCAAATGTGAACATAACAGCCAACCTCAACATTTTGCTGAGATGTAGCAGAAAAAATATCCTTTACTATTATATACATTTTGAAGAACTGAATGGAATGGGTCACTACCACTTGTGTTGTTTCATGCAGATATTGATGAGTGTGCTGAAAATATTAATCTTTGTGAGAATGGCCAGTGCTTGAATGTCCCAAGTTCCTATCGATGTGACTGTGAGATGGGCTTCACTCCAGCTCCAGACAGCAAGTCTTGCCAGGGTAAGTCCATTATTGTTTCTTCCTAGCTCTCGAAGTTTAGGTTGGCTTGAGTAAACAGAAATTATTTGAATGTATTGGCAGGCAATCAACCTGGGAGCAGGCTCTTTTGAAATCCAAGGGATGATTATCTAGGTCTGTTTGACTGTTTTAAAGTGAAGTGTGTAGCTTTCATGATCAGAGTCCCTTTTTTTGTTATGGTCCTCAGTAGCTTTTGCCATTGCACTTCATTATTTGTACTTGTATTCACTCCATTATTTGTATTTGGATAGCTTTGAGTGGCACAATGTCCTATATTGTTAAAAGTGAAATATTTTGTGCTCAGTTTGGCCAGCTAGCAAAAAGGAGTTAGATAAGGACTTCAATAGAATCAATAGAAATGCCTTTATACACATAATAAACTTTCTTATTCAATAAATCACCATATATTAAGATGATAGGGTTGATTAAGAAGGTTGTTCACTTTGCAAGGACATTTTCCCTTAGCTAATAGAATTTGGTAAAACTCCCTTTTCAAAGTATACCCAATCATGGGCAATTAAAATAAAAAATATAGTATTTTTGCTTGCACCTGATTAAATAATGTAAGTCAGCAGAGCTTCACCTCATTCACTAAGCTAAGTGAAAATTCCCTTGCAAAGTGAACAGCCTATGTTACTTTAGTAAATCAACCCCGTAGTCTTGACATATGGTGGTTTAATAAAAGAGCAAAAGAGTAAGTTCCTTTAAAGTACATATATGTAATTAATATATAGTAATTAATTGATAAAAGGTTTACATTTATAAGAATACCATAATTAAGACATATACTGAAATAAATGTAAAGCTTACCTAGATTGTGCCCAGTCCTGCTAACCCTTTGGGTACCCTCTATAACATACAGAATAATCTCCCAGAGGACTTCATTGAATGCCTATATGCACATTTTGTAAGTGCCCTTGCTAGGGCCCTCTGCCAGTTGGGCAGCTGTAGACCTATTCTGCATGGAGGGTTCTATTAGATCAGCTGTTGCTTGAATAATCATAGCAACATATAATTAGCTTCTGTTTTTATAATGTTGTGTTAAAAAAAAAAAACCTTTATTCTATTTGTAAATTATTTTAACAGCAACATCATTTTAGTACTGTGATGAATGCCAGAATAAAATTGTTATATTGTATCCACATTAATGCTAGTTGTCGTGAAACTATTACTACAAAAAACTGTATTTTGTTACTTCTTTTTGCCTTTAAATGTATATAAAAACACATTTTAAGAAAATACTGCTAATACATAGCCTTGTTTGTCTACCCAAAATATGTATCCTTTTGGTATCATATGGGGATCCACCGATACCTATACTAGAATAGGTATCAGTGCCAATACCGATGTATTTGGGCAAGTACTCGTACTCCCCCAAATGCTCCAATATTTACCCCCTACACCAGAACTTCCGGTTGGAGGGAGATTTCCTCTGACCGGCACTGCCGCTAGGGAACATGGAGACAGCTTCCTGGCCAATCAGGAAGCCGGGCAGCAGGTAATGACCCGCCACCCGGCTTCCTGATTGGCCTGGAAGCCAACTCCATGCTGCTTGGCTGGCTCAGTGCTGATTGCCCGGGAAGCTGGCTTCCAACCAATCAGCATTTAGCCTGTCAAACAGCATGGAGCTGGCTTATCGGCCAATCAGGAAGCTGGGCAGCCAGTAATGACCC